TCGGCTCAGGTCCTGATCGTGAGATAAAGCCTCCTGTCAGGCTCCACGCTAGGTGTGGAGCCTGCTTGGGATTCTCTCTCTCTCTGCCCCTCCCCCCACCCTATCTCTCTCAAAAAAAAAGAGAGAGGGGGCGATTCAAGGATAACTTCACAGTGTTTGTCTTGAGCAGTGGGAGGATGGATTTGTCATTTGCTGAGATGCAAAAGTCCAAGGGATAAGTACATTTTAGGGGAGAAAAGCTTTGGGTTTGGTTATGTTGAGTTTAAGATGTTTATTAGATATCCAAGTGAAAATGGAGAGGAGGAAGTTGGGATACATGATACGTGAATCAAGAGTTCAGGAGAGGGTGATGGGAACATAAGGGTCCTATCTCAATTTGAAGAATGCAAAAAGAAGGGGGCAGGCATTTGGCAAGGGCAAAGCATGTGGATGCTTTTCTGCATTTTTACATGTTCTTGAGTACTGTTATGTAGTTTTCCTCTCATCTCCTTTTGGTGGAAGTCTCTTATATAACAGGGACTAACATTTACTGCACATTTATTATGTGCCAAACACTTTGACATATAGCATCCCATTTAAGCACAGCTATAACACAAAACACATGTTGTCATCACCATTTTACAGATGAGAAAACTGAGGCTCTGCAAGACAGGCAAAAATTATCCGTCCTAAGTCACACAGCTGGTAAGTGAATATACTGAGATTTAAACCAGGATCCAAGTCCTAAGCCCATGTCCCCCCCAGCTATGTATCTGCTTATCACCAGGTGGGTCAGAGAGTCAACTCTGTGATTTCCATGTCAATGATTTGTTCTGTAGATTTTTTTTTAAAGATTTTATTTATTTATTTGAGAGACATGGCGAGAGAGGGAACACAAGCAGGAGGAGTGGGAGAGGGAGAAGCAGTCTTCCCGTGGAGCGGGGAGCCTGACACTGGACTGGATCCCAGGACTCCGGGATCACGACCGGAGCCAAAGGCAGACGGAAGGCAGACGCTTAACTGACTGAGCCACCCAGGTGCCCCTCTGTGGATTAACCAGAGCAAAGAGGTATTTAAAACCAGCCCTTGGCCAACTCCTTATCATATTCCGCCAGAGGTTGTCAACTTGTTTTGAATGTTTATTAGTCAGGCATTGACAGCTATATTATTTTACTATTAGGCCCAGACAAAACAAAATTAGGAAGGTAAACTTGATGGGACAAAAAGCCAGTGAAGTACTGCAGACCAATTATAGTTGAATTCATGGGTTATTTACTTTTCTAGGTTATCCACAACTCCGACAGTAGTACAAAAAAGAGGATAATTACATAATTGTCATTTGGTTCAATTTCCTTTATATCTTTCCATAATGAGTTACACAGTAGGTGCTTCATAAGTGGTACTGGCAGGCATCCCTTGGCCCACTTCCTTTTTTGGAATTCTAGGCAATCTAGGTTACCATAGCAGACTTCATGCCCCATTAATTTGACAAACAATACTGGTGCCTACTATGTGGTGGGTGCTATGCTAGTTATTGGGACTACCAAAGTGGAAAGGGTGTGGTTCTCACCATCAGGGAGCTCATACTTTAGTGATGAGAAAGCATGTGAAAAAAGAAAAATACAATGTGGTTAGTGATATCATTGACATGCTCAGAGTACCATGAAAGTATAAAGGACAATCTGTTTGGAGTGAGTTGTGGGTCTGTACCAGAGGGAATATGTGATTCGATTCTTGAGGAAGTTATCAGATGTCCAAGGTGGGAGCATTCCAGGCAAAGAAACCAGTTTGTGCAAAGACACTGATGTGTGAGAATTGTCAGTGAATTTAATTTTGTGGGAGTATGAGTTCCTTGTAGGATAGTGGGAGATGAGGTTGGAAAGGCAGATTATGGGTCATGATAAGGAGCTGATATTTTGTCTCCTAGAATACATGGGGCCAGACAGGTAAGGTAAATGAGTGATAAGGGCAGTAATGGAGACTAGAGGAAGGACGTAGGGATGACTGTGTGGAACTTGATTGTTCTAAGGGGTTAGTTATAGCTGACTGTAGCCATATGTGAATATGGATCCAGTGTTAGCAGGTTTTCTGATTTTTTTTTTTTTTTTAGGGAGAGAAGCAGGAAATCTGATTTTTTTATGTGAAATGTCCTGATTTCTAAATGCTGGCAATTAATTTTTTTTAACTCAAAGTTTCAGCCAACACTGCACCAAATACAACACATCTGTTTGCGGGATGTAGCCTGTAGGCTGTCATTTTGAGACCCGTGCTGTAGGGGATGGGGTATTTATGGAAGCATAGAAGCTATCTGAAGTAACACTTCAAAACACTTTTATTTTTTTATTTCAAAATTATTTTTATTCTCTACTTTCATAGTTATTTGTAAATCATCAATATCAATAGTTAACATGCTTTCTAAAAGTGTTAATGATGAATTTTCAAATCTCAACTGGATCTACATTTTATTTAAAAAAATTTTATTATGTTATGTTGAGAGAGAGAGCATGAGCAGGCGAGGGGCAGAGAGAGAAGCAGACTCCCTGCACAGAGAGTCTCTCTCTCTCTCTCAAATAAATAGATAAAATTAAAAAAAAAATAACCATGTACATTCCTCATCGGATTGCTCCATTTCAACATACCTATTGCATATGAAGACATATGTTCTTCCTCTGGGGAGCCAAAGAGAGGTTCTAGGTCAAATGCAACTTGCAAGTCTTCTGAGGGCAATGGTGCAACCCAGGGTCTCAGGCTGAGAAAAGCCTGGTAGAAGAGGGTAAGCTGAGACCAGTAAGGCCCTCGAGCACCACTACCCGGAGATGGCTGTTACTTGTTTCCTTTTCACTTTAAGGAAACCAGGGGCAGTCTCTTTGAACTGTGTATACAACCAAATCAACATAGCCAGTGATAACACAGATAAAACACAATGTCATAGCTGTTAAAGTGCAAACTCCTCATTTTACAGTTGGAGAAACTAATGTTTCTGGCCAAAAAGTCACTGGCCAAAAGGCACAGTGACTTAATCAGAGTGACCCAGCAAACCAGTGGCAAGGTCAGGTCTACTGACTCTTAGTTTAACATTCTTTCTAATAATCCTAGGCTGTGAGGGGCGCCTGGGTGGCTCAGATGGTTAGACTTTTGCCTTCGGGTCACAGCTTCTGTCTCCGTGGGGAGTTTGCTTCTCCCTCTCCGTCTGCCTCTCCCCCTGCTCATGCTTTCTCTCTCTCTGTATCTTTTGGTCTCAAGTGAATAAATAAAATCTTAAAAAAAAAAATCCTAGGCTATGATAATGAAGATAAGTTGGCTCTGTAGTTCTCCTAGCACCTAGAATTCCTAGGGTGCCTGGGTGGCTCAGTCGGTTAAACACCTAGAATTCCTAGACGGAACAAGCAGGACTTGAGATTAGCTTAGCTTGTAAGTGCTCTTTTACATTTTCTTATCTGCATGATGATGATGATTTTCTTCGCAAACTTTATACTTCATGGGTAAGGAAAGGGCCAATGAGGGGACAAATAGATCTTTGTGAAGCACTGAGATCATTCACAAAGCGTCTGGAAGAAAAGTTGGCTGTGGCTAATATATTTAAGGTTTATGACGTCTGCGCTTTTTGGACTGACCTTTCCACCGTATGCTTTGCTTTTGTTTAATTGTTTCTCTGCTTTTGTCTTCTTTTCTGTATCTCCCTATTTTTCTTCTTTCCCATCAGCCTAGGTCTCAGGCCTACCCTTGACAAGTCAATAAAACTGCTAATTATTCATAACATGGGAATAGGAGGACATAGTGACCAAGAAGCATACATATTTCCCCTGCTACGGTCATTTAGCTCTCTATAATCTCAGACTAGTAACTCTTGTCGATTGCGACTCAACTAATCCTTTCCATCTTTCATTTGAGAGTCTATTGTTCCGACATTTGCCTCTTTGTTTTGTTTTGCTTTTTTTTGCTCTGAACCCTTTTCTCATTGGTTCAGTTGTTGAAGATGTTGCAGTTGCAGCAGTGTACATCTGGAACATTTGGCTGACTTGTTGAACTTCCCCCAGGGACTACTCCAGGGAGAGGAGGGGGGGGTTGAGAGGCCAGAACAGTTGCCTGCAAATAGAGATGCCAATGTAGCCTGGCCATTCTGTGGACCACCCTTGTAAAAACGCACCTCACCTGGCCCTCAATTTCCCCGTTTGCTCATTGAAGGCAGATATTCTTCACTCTAAACTCCTGTTGCTGAGGCAGAAGAGAAACTCCACAGGCTGTGGATTATCTCATACAGCACTTGCTGCGTTGTAAAGGGACCCACACATATTTGTTGAATTAATTAATCTATCAAGAAATTTCAGGGGACTGTTCGAACCTGCGTGGGGCAACATCACTTGAGTTCCACCTGGCATAGGTGCACTTCTCGGCCACTTAGATTGAGGCCCCAGATTCACTCTAGGAGTGGGGCTGCCTCGGTCCCACCCCAATCTCACTCCCTTTGGCTCCCAGGCTCCTGGGTCTCCTTTTTCTTTTGGCGCGCCACAGGATTGCAAACACAGCAGGCACGGTTTCATTCCAAACCAAGAACTGTTTTAATTAGTTTAACGTCTGTTAAACGCTTTGAAGATTGAAAGCAGCAGATAAGTACTGGATGATGTTATTAACAACTGCAGTTAATTGCAAACATTTCTATTAATTCTAGTTTCTGTTTCCTTTTCTTTGCTCCACTTTCTTCCCAAGGTTCCCCAATTCTTCTCGGCCTCCCCCCTCCGTGCCTTCTCCTGCCCCCGTACAGGCGCTATAGGGTTAAATTTGGGCGGAGTCCAGGGATGAACGACAGCGGCGGTCACCAACTGGGACAGGCGCAAGCGGGAAGAACTGGGTGGGGCAGTCAGGCAGAGGGGGAACCCACACGCCCCCAAGGCCCCGCCCCGTGGCTGGAGGCCCAGGGTGGAATGGCAGGGGGCGGGGCGCCAAGGCTTGGCGGGCCGGTGGTTGGGCGTCCAGGCAGCCGCTTGGGGGATGGGGCGGGGTCGGCCTGGGCCGCCTCCCTCATTCTCCCCGCGGGCCGAGCCGCCCCTCTCTCCCGCCCCTCCTCCTCCCTTTCCCACCCCTCGGAGTGGAGCTGCACATGCGGCAGCTCCCTGCTCCGTTCCGCCCAGCCTCCGTTGCTCTGGAACGGGTCCCTGCAGCCCCCAGCCGATGGCAGGGCAGTAGCCGCCTGTCAGGGGTCCTGAACGGCTGAGGCAGACGCGGCGGCTCCAGGGCCTCAGAGTGGGTGTCTCCGGAGGCCATGGGCTACCCCGAGGTAGAGCGCAGGGAACCTCTGCCCACGGCAGCGCCGCGGGAGCGGGGGAGCCAGGGCTGCGGCTGTCGCGGGGCCCCTGCCCGGGCGGGCGAAGGGAACAGCTGCCGGCTCTTCCTGGGCTTCTTTGGCCTCTCGCTGGCCCTCCACCTGCTGACGTTGTGCTGCTACCTAGAGTTGCGCTCCGAGTTGCGGCGGGAACGGGGAGCCGAGTCCCGCCTTGGCCCCAGCACCCCTGGCACCTCTGGCACCCTGAGCAGCCCCGGTGGCCTCGACCCTGACGGTCCCATCACCCGCCACTTCGGGCAGCCATCACCTCAGCAGCAGCCGCTGGAACCGGGAGAAACCACACTCCCCCCACACTCCCAGGACGGGCACCAGGTGAGTCACCTAGGAGGGGCGGCGGCGGCGGAGGCCCCCTCCCCTTGTGGGCAGGGCGGGGGCCCTCCCCCACAGGGCCCTTGGGGAGGACTCTGCCACCTCCAGCCAAGTTGCAGGGCCGGACCAGGGAGGGGGCACATGAGCCGGGGAGAGGTTGCCCCGGGGCAGGTTGTCCTGGGTCCTGGTCTAGCTCACCCAGACTCTCTCGGGACCCTTGGACTTGGGAACTCTGGCCGGCGCCCGCCGCCCCCCAGCTACCGGCTGCCTTGGGGAAAGTTGGCGGCTCTCCCAGCCGCGGAGGTGCGGGTGCTGCCCCTCTGGCGGACTAACGGCAGCAGCTTGGCCCTTCTGCTCCTGGTGAGATTCCCTGCCCGCGGTGCTTGTTTTTTCGTGTCCAGAGCTGATGCCAGCACGAGCAGGCTCTCCTTTGGAGTTGGAGCTGTAAACAGCTGTAATAACTGCTCCACAGTTGAAACAACTTTTAATCGTATTTTCAGCGCGGGTCCTTGTGCGCTGACCAGAACGTGGGCTTGTTCACACTTACCTGCAATTTGAGACTGATTGTCCTCAGTGTTCTAGTGAGGATCAGCGCCCCTGTGGAATTCTGGTAGAAATATGCCATCTTGCTAGACAACTTCTGAACAGCAATTTAAAAAATCTATGGAAATAAAACTCACCCTTTGCATGCCGGTTCTGACTCTTTTAGGGGGGTAGATGGGGTGAGTGTGAAGTCTATTCACTACTGCTAGTTTGAGAACAGGAATCTACTGATGGAAGAATTACTCAAGAGTAATCTTTCAGGAGCAGTTTTGTTTTGTTTTGAAATCTTTATGGTAGCTTTGGTAGTTGTCTTCCACTTTTTCAGCTCTTCAACTAAATTTGGCGCACTTAAAATAAGTATTCTCTTAAGTGCCATATTTTGTCACGTGAAATTTAAGAGAAGCAAGCATCCAAGAATCCTTTTGAGGTGGCTAGAGAATAATAGTGAATTTGTTCCTTTTGGGGAAGAGGGCAAGCTGTGTAAATAAGTTTCTTGAAATGAGGGGCCCAGGATTTCTATATTTACTACCATATCCAGAGTCGTTGTCATAAGCTAAACATTATTTGTGCTCTTTGACCACCCATCCAAAGCTGGCATCTCATTCATGACAAAACTGTAATGTTGGGACTGACGTATATTCTACATTGTGCATTGTAAAGTTACCCTGAGCCGAAAAACGTCTTGCTAGCACACTCCAACTTATATAACAGCTTATCAAAGAAGAGAATCAGTAGACATGCTTCTCATACTTGAAACTTTAAACACTGTAGCTAAATGATAATTAACTAGGATTCTGGCTCCCTTTATCTATCCACCCCCGCCCCCACAATGCCCAGTAGAAATAGCCACTGAACATTGATACTCTGTGAAAAGATGAAGTAATTGAACTTCCTTAGTCAAATGGTAGCCAAAGCTTTTTGGTATTTAGGATGGACAGACCAATGTTTATAGACTGAGGATTAGCAGGACAGCTGCACTCTAGGGCATCTGTGATGGTGTGTGACTCTTACAGGTCTACAATGGCATTTAGTCGCCTGTTTGCATAGCACTTCGAATAGTTCTGTCTAGGTTTAAATACAGTTCCCTATTTTCTGTCCTTTACTTCTGTTTTAATCTTTTTGAGGAGTAGCAAGAAGCATACTGGCTCTTTACATTTGCTGGCGTCAATTGGAGTCAGGGATTTTTAGAATTGTGAGGGGCCATATGAGTCCATTTTGTTTGATCCCCTTGGATAGCACAGAGGCCCTGAGTGGGGGGGGGGATGATTTGTCCAAGGTCATACAACTATGGTCAACAGTAGAAGGGAAGTTGGTCTCTTGACTCCCAGTTCAAGAAAGTTCGTTTGTTCCCCTATAGCATACAACTCCTGGAGCCTTTCTGGGAAAAGTGGGATGGAGCTCCATAGTACAATTCTTGCAATGTAGAAGGCTCAGATTTGCATCAGTTTCTTTTACTCCACCTGTATTTTGGCCAGACTAAGTTTAACATGTATTCCTTACTCTTCCTGAACATTACTTTCGGGAGAATTGAAATATACTTTAAAGGAATTTTAGCCCAGATTCAAATTATTTTCTCTTGAGAATATTAGTTTTAGTACTCCCCCCCCCACCAAAAAAAGGGAAAAATTGGCTATTAGAGTTAAATTGATACTGCTACATCTTGGGTAAAATTTCTAGTGCCCTGGTGCACCCTCTGCTGGCTTTGCAGGGACATTTAATTGCAGTATCTGCTGACAGTCAAGATTCTAAGTTGTGCTGACAGATTCTGATTCATAAACAAGGAAGTAAACAGCCTTGTGGGATTTGGCCACGTAGGTCACATTTTTATATATATATTTTTTTAAGATTTTATTTATTTATTTGATAGATAGCGAGAGCAGGAACACAAGCAAGGGGAGTGGGAGAGGGGGAAGCAGGCCTCCCGCTGAGCAGGAAGCCGATGTGGGACTCGATCCCAGGACCCTGGGATCATGACCTGAGCCGAAGGCAGACGCTTAACGACTGAGCCACCCAGGCGCCCACATTTTTATATTTTAGTTTTTCAACACAAACAGCTGCTCTTACAGCAACTCTTAGATGGAGAGGAAGAAAGATAAAAATATACACCCTTCAATGGGCAGAACATTCAGGTTTCTCACCAGTTTATTTGCAAGGAGTAAAGACAAACTGATGAGACTAAATTGCAGAAAGGTCTCATGAGACTAAGTAGGCAAAACAGAGGCACTTCATTGTATAAGGTCATACAAACCTACCCATGTTTATGAGATGATGGGCTTGGTTATGACTCAAGAAAGGGATCTAGAGATCACTGAAGAGGTTCATTTGTATCTCTCAATTTAAAAACATTTAAAACAAGATACAGAAGGAAATTAGGGCAGTCGGGATACATAGCAGAAAGATCAGCAAAGTTCTCCGGGGGAATTGTTAGAAAAGCCTCCCCAGTGGGGACACTGCTAATGATAAAAAGTGAGAGGGTCACCTCAGACCTTTTGGCATCATAACTGTCTCCTTCAGCTGGAGTAGCTGAGGAGTACCTGTAGATTTATCCGGCTACTCACTGAAGGTGATCTGAAGAGCTAGGTACATCTCACCAACTTCTGAGTCAGACAGTATACAATATGACTGTTGCAGGAAAAAAATAAAAAATCACTGTTGATCATTCTGTGAAGAAGTTGGCCCAGTTGTGATTATGGTCCTCAAAGCCAATAATATGGTAGACATCAGCAGGAAGGACGTTGAAAATAATGACAAAACAAAACCCTTATCTTTTCCACATAAAAGACCAAAAGTGGATTTGCATCCATATCGTGTAGGAAATTCTGGTGGCTGCTTCTCAAGAAAAACCTAACAGCTGATAAAAGTCCCTAGAAATCCAGTTAAATTGATCAAAGGGATAGAGGGATTTTCTAGTTGTTTTTTTTTTTTCCGCAGTCAGGAAAGAGAGAGAGGTTGAGGGAGGGATATGATCAAAGTCTACAAAACCATGAGAGAGATGAATAAGGTTAATATATTGGTATAATTTAACAATTTAGCTCAATAAATAGCCTGCTATCAGCCAGACATGGAAGAGAGGCAAGTAAAAGTAGTATCTCATTCAAATGATTGCCCTAAGAGATAATCTAAACTGGAACTCTAAGATTTAGGAAGTGTTTAGAAAAATACATATGAGTAGATTAATGAGGATTTATTTAGGACTGTTGGGGATATTTGGAAAATGTTCCTAATTATTTGAGATGATGACATAGAAATCAACTTTATCTTTCCACAAAACATCTCTTGGTTTAACTAGATAGAACATTAGTGTATACAGATTTTACATTACTTATTAAGGCTGGTTGATCAAGAAAATGACTAGGAGTCATTAAATCCAAGAATTTTTTTAGTGGAATGGGATCCAGTAAAATAACTTTCTATAGGTTTTTTTTTTTCCCCCTATAGGTTTACCTCTAGAGTTTTCAGTGTGACATTCAAGGTTTTTGATCAACTGGCTCCATTATACCTCTCCCATTTTCTCTCTCACTAATTCTACTCCTGCAACCCACCCACCATATCCTGTCTTGGGATCATTCTCTAGTTGTTATGGCTGTTTTTGGTTTAATAACTCTTATGTCTTTATATAGAACTCTTCAGAAATCTGCCTCTTTTTTGTCTTTTTCCACAGTACCTGACTCAACGCTAGTTATAGTTAAGGTACTTTAATACTTGTTGAGTTAAATATTATTTTGGGCCTTTGGAGATCATCATGTGAAATAAAGACATTTTCTCTGTATGTAACAAGCCTGCTTTCCTCAGGTCTTGCTAAGCCTGTATCAGCTTTGCTTAGGTGAGTCAAATTGTTCTACTGGCAATGTTTCATTGGTTTCTAGAATTATTAGAAAGTGAAATGGAGAGGAGCCCTAACCACATTACCTTTAAAGTGGTGCAAAAAGCTTTCTGTAATACATCATTTGAGGTTTTATTTTATTTGTTTTTAAGTCTCATCTCTTTCTTAGATTTTGTGAAAAAATAATCCATAATCTATCTGTAAATACCTTATAGGGAAGAACTCTTTATAATAGAGAGCTTCTGAAGCCATTTAATCCCGAAGAACTTTACCAAGAAAAGCATTTGCCTTGCCTATTAGGGTGGCCCTCATAGAAGACCAACTTTATTTATTGTACTTTGCTGGGTTTTTTTTTTTATTTCCCCCACTTTTCTGTTGAAGTATTGCATACATACAGAAAAGGTGACAGATCATACTTGTACAATTTGATGAATTATTACACAGTGAACACACTGATGTTACCAGAACCCAGGTCAAGAAATAGAACTAGCATTTCACAACCCCCACATTATGCTCCATTCCTATCACTGTACCTTCCCCCAACAAACAAAGTTAATGACTTTCTCGACTTCTAACATCATACATTAGTTTTACTTATTTTGAACTTGATGTAAAGCAAATCAAATAATATATATTT